CAGATGAAACTTATAGAGATATGATATTGAGCAGTTTTTATCAAAAGATTTTTGTAATGGGAGTTTTGCGAAAAAAATTAGCATTTTCCTGAGTCTCACCAAGATTTTTCTTTTTCTATTAGTAGTATCTTGATTTTTAGAATTTAATAGTAAGCTACATCGAAATTCATCGATAGATTTCAAATTTCATTTAAAAATATGTATCCATTCACGAATTATAATGTTTTAGAAAAAATTCAAAACATTGTAACTCGGGAACGGATGTATATTTTTAGATGAAATTTGAAATCTATCGATGAATTTCGATGTAGCTTACTATTAAATTCTAAAAATCAAGATACTACCAATAGAAAAAGAAAAATCTTGGTGAGGCTCAGGAAAATGCTAATGTTTTTCGCAAACTCTCATTACAAAAATCTTTTGATAAAAACTCATCATCTGGGTCCCATGCTCCGAAATTGAAATCCAACATACCGAAAAATCCTGGATACGCCACTACAAGAGAAGTGAACTTTCTGCTATGAATACAATGTTTATCCTTAGTTAAATTTTTCGACTATTTAAAAATTGTAGTTTTTTTTTTGATTTACACTATCGTTTAAAATCTATTAATGAGATAATTTTGTTTTCACTGCTCTTTTTTTATAGACGGGTGGTATTAAAAAACCACATCGTTTTCGTCCAGGTACAGTAGCATTACGTGAAATTCGTCGTTATCAAAAATCAACAGAATTATTAATACGTAAATTACCATTTCAACGACTTGTTCGTGAAATTGCACAAGATTTTAAAACTGATTTACGTTTTCAATCGGCTGCTATTGGTGCACTTCAAGAAGCAAGTGAAGCTTATTTAGTATCACTTTTTGAAGATACTAATTTATGCGCTATTCATGCAAAACGTGTTACTGTAAGATATTCTTTTTTTTTTTTTTGTTCTAATAGAAAAAAATTCTTTTATTTTAGATTATGCCCAAGGATATTCAATTAGCACGACGTATTCGTGGTGAACGTGCTTAAAAGAATAATTCAATAACTATGTATAAAGAGAAAAAACAAATTATGCTTTTTGTTTCTAATTGATTATTGATTTATTCTCTATATATTATTTTTCTCAGGATGAAATTTTTATTTTTGATGTAAGATCTACATGTTTAATCAAAAATATTATTTCGTTTTTTTTTTGTTGTTGTCATTTTTAATGAACGTCAATTTTGTTCTTGTGTTTATGTTAAAATTTGTTCGTATTTGTGGGTAGTTATATGTATTAGACAAAAAAAAACAAAAAAAAACAAACATATTGTATCGTTTTGAAATGAAATAAACATTTATCTTTGTTTTTTTGTTAGCGCTTAATGAAAAATTCAAACTAATCTTTTTTTGTTATTTACTTATATTATATAAGAGAAAGAGATTCGGTTTTTTCAATTCAAAATGATTTTCTTATTACTAAAAGTTAGAAACTTGATCTATATATAAACTTGTATATGAAAAGTTATCATTTTGATTCAAAGGAAATATATATTCTAGTTGAATAAAGATTTGTTATAAAGTGCAGAGAATGAAACCTATAAGTTTTTTTTTCTTATCTTTCAACAGTTTTTGAAAATAGTCAAAGATGAACGTATAAAAAGTCAGTTAGATTTCTAGAGAACAAGCAATTGTTTTTTTTGCAGTTAATTAGAAGTTTCTATGCTATGATCTGTATCTTCATGAGATCAAGTCATAAGAGTTTTCTCGCTATCTATATATTTAATTGGTCATCAATTATTGCCTAATATATAATCATTACAATTCCCTAGACTGAATAGGGTTTAGAAACCGAAATTCAACTATATCTGTGTGTAACATTTGGTACAAATGACCATTTGCATGGTACAAAGTACCAATTTGGTGGTACAGGCAACCATTTATTTGACATAATTGACCATTTTTATTATACAAATGACCGTTTCTATAGCTCAATTCACTATTTCCATGGCAGAATCAACCATTTCTTTGGCACAGTTGATCATTCTTATGGCTCAAATGAGCATGTCGGTGTCATAATTGGTCATGTGCATATTAGAAACTCATTATACAGAATTCATTTTTATTTCATAATATAAGGACATCTTTATCATCATTCCGTCAGTCTGGCGCCAAATGAATCGACATTAAATGTTGATAAGTAGACATATATATATATATGTATATACAGCGATACACTACAAGTAGGATTAAGATCTCACCTTGTGTCCCTTATAAATGTGATATTTCGACCAAAACTCAATGTAAAAAAGAATCTATTTCAGGTTTTATTAGTGTGTTAATCTTTGAGTTATTTACAGAATATGAACTAAAAATCTTATAATCAAGCGAAGAAATCTTGTTAGATGTTCGTTGAAATAAATCATATTTCAAAAATCTAAGATGAAAATATTTACTGAAAACTAATAAAATGATCATAATATTTATTATTAAATTAAAGCTCTTTTCCTTCTGTTACAAAAAAATCCTATGTTTCTATCAGTCAAGCATACATCAATTTATTAAAAAAAAGTTGAAACTGTTAACATATATTATTGATTTCTCAATGAATCTACTATAATAATGAAATATCTGATTATTGGAAACAACAAATATCTTCATAATAACTTTTTTTTGTATATTTTATACAAGAACAACAGACTATTGTATTTGAATATTGGTTTTTTACATCTACAGATAAAGCTTATTCTTCCATCTAATCAATGATTCATGTTTATTTTTTTGTGTTACATATATTTCATGATGCCTATTCAATTTTCTTTTCCTCGAAGGATATTTATTCTATAATTATCATGGATTTACAAATATATTATATATGCTTTCTATACATATCACACAACTGTAAACAAATTAAGACAAGAATAACAAACACACACACACAATTAATTAACGATAATTACTTAGTAGGATAGTAACATTAGTCAACAAGAATTTATTTTCTATTGCAATCAATACTAAAAAAAAAGAAACCGAATAGATTTCTAAGTAAAATTTTTACAGATAAGAACTCGAACAAAAAAAAAATTTCAAAATTAATCTTTTCAATACATAGAGAACTTTCTAATATGTTATTTATTTTCTGATTTCTTAGAAACAAAATAATTTCTCTATTTAAATCATTGATCAAATACTTTTGTAACATTTAAGATAATGAAAAAAACAAAAAACAAAAATTGAAAATAATTTATATTAAATAAATTTCGTTATTGATGTGTCAAAAAAAAACATATTTAATTAATTCTATATTTTTAATACATGAATTGAAGTAATCTTATGAAATAATATATAAATTATAATTAACTGTCATCTTAGCAGATGTTTTTGATGAGTCTATATAAAACAAACAAACATAATTGTTGCTTTGATATTTGACGCTTGATTATATTTATAAATGTATGACAAATCTAATTCGTATTTTGTTTTTTAATAAGCAAAAGAAATTAAATTTTCTTTTTTCGTATATATTTATGAAAATAATATAATTGTTATAAAGAATCGATATGATAAAACTAATAAGAAAATTTTGATAGTTTTTTAAGAATAGATAAATGTCAATGAGTAGAATAAAAGTTATCATAGACTCCAAAATTCTTAGATATTTCGTTGTAAGAGCAAAAAATAGATATATCTGCTTATCGCTATTTGACCTGCCTACTTCTTCTTTTTTTTTTTTATTATTATTTCTTTTCATCTTCTTCTGTTCGAATACAAAATACCAGACATTCTGAGAACATCATCAAAAAACAAAATACATACTTCTCTGTCTTATTTTTTAATTGGAATTTTTGTTATATTTTCTTTTTTATCGTAAACATTAGTACAAATAAATGATAGAAAAATAATTTGTAGTGGATAAAAATAAATTTCTTTTTCGTCTGTTTGTATTATTATACATATATTGTTATGTTAATTATATACGTAACAAAGTCAAGTGCATTTATATATATATATATAGATTATGCTTTATTTTAGAATATAAGTATGTCGAAAAGTTTCATAATCAATAATGTTGTAGTTCTAAACCGAGACGACAATCTCACTCAAAATTCTTCTCGTTTAATTGTACGAATTTTGCATGTATATAGTACGAGCCTTGTTATTATATAAGATTGTCACATGCGATGAGTATGTATGAATAGTTTAGGAAATCTAGCATGAACTTTAGATGATATTACAGATTCAATAAAGAGCTACATTATCGTCGATTATTGATAATAGAGTGTATGACTTAAAAAATGATACATTTAGACATACTTACATTGTAAAACTGTAAAAGGCTTAATGAGATATTTTTTCTGCTTTGCATTACTACTTATTTTTTGTCTCTCGATATCATTAAAATAGAACATTTGGAAATTAATATAAATTAACATGTTAATTAAGTATACTATATGTGTACAAATGCAGTTGACTCTATTACCTACCTAATGACATAAAAATGTGTATATAATAATAATAATATGAGAAGAAGGGGGAAACGGTATTTATTTCTATTCATGATAGAGTATAAGTAGAAGAATGTTTCAATGTGATCACAGGTCCTACAGTTGAAAAACTAGAGCAATTCATCACTGGTTTATTTGAAAAAAAGTTCGGATTTTATTATTAATTCATCGAATATATCTAAGTACATAGAACATATTTCAAAGTTTATATAAATAACAGAAAACAAAAAAAATGAAAAATATAAAAATTTTTCGGCCAAGAAAGTTTATCGTCCTTGAAATATGTAGTCATTTCGTTTGAGAATAATGGGATTTGTGATTTGTCTACTTGAATAATATATATATATTATATACATATGTATATTTATTGTCAAATCAAAATCTATCTGACGATTAGCATCAAAAAAATGAAATAGAAAATAAATATTTTCCTAAGTTGTCTCATTTTTATGTTAATTAAATTTATGATAATAATTGATCAGTTCAGATAAATATATTCATAAAAAATTTTCTTGTTTAATATTATTTATTGTTCATTTATTTCGTTGATTATATATTTTGGACAATCTTGTGCAATTATAGTCATTAATAATGCTGTATATTTTCTACCAAATATATCTAACATTTGTTCAATTTTATTTTCATGATTAGCCATACTAATAAAAACAAAAAAAAAAGAAAAACCGAAAGAAAATTAATATTGATTTATTTATTTTATTTATTTTTTTTTTGTTTATTTAATAAAATTCAAATCTCACCTACAAATATATCCAAGAAATGAATAGGATGGTCGAGAAGATTGTCGATGAATACGTGAATGAGAATTAAGAAAACGACTCATTTCAGGAAATGGATAATAACCTGTTTCCAATTTTCTATTTCTATTATATATTTTATGTCTAATATGAAAAATAATATAGTTCATGTAACTTACGGATCAAAATCAAAATTCACCGGTTGACTATTAATTTTTGTACTACTAAACAATGTACCGATACAAATCAAATAAACTATCAAATTCATTGATATATTTTATACGTGTTCAGACTAGGATACTTATAAAAAGATATGATATTAATAGATCGCTCCGTAGTTATATATGTATATATAGTCTTAAGATGGAAAACAATATTGGTTAATGAGACATGGCTGTCAGTAGGCGTTATTAAAGATAGATATATAGATAGAATGGCAACCATTTCTTAAGCGTGGGCATCTGTTTATTCATTTATTGAGATTCTAGAACAATTAGAGCCGTACGTGTCTTTCTAATTCATTTTGTGATTGTCTGTATTGTATATTTTAAAGGCTTTTCCTGTCAAACATTAGTCAATCGAAAACATATAGGTTGATTGTGGGTGTAAACATTGATTCCATTATGTCTTGTCATTCTATTATTATTATGATTAACATTAGTCTTGATCGAACCACCTCTACTGCTAATATTTAATATATTCGTTGAATTTGGTGTATAATGATGTTTCATTGAAGATCGATTAATATTTGTTGAAATAATTGAATGTTGTATTAATCCTGATGGTTTAAATTGTATGATTGCTGATGATGTTGATTTCATTCTTGGAATTGGTTTACAACAACAACAACAATAACGACAACAACATGATGAAAATAGTTCACGAAATTTGAGACGAAATTTATCTAAGATATAAAATATATACAATACGAACAAAAAAAAAAGAAGAAATTTGATATATGATTGTTACCACTCATAATATTATATATAATTGGATTGATTGATGAATTGAAATAAGGAAGAAAATGAGATATTAATGCACTTATTGTAACAATTTTTATTGTACCAGTACGTTCAAGATAAACTAATTTTGGTTTAAAACATTCCATATTTTCATCAGATTTTTCATTTATTCGTGCTTGTTTAATATATTCAAAATAGACATAAATATATCTAAAGTATTTTTTTATTTTTGTATAAATAGTATTTTATTATCTATATTTATTTTGTTTTTACCTAAATAAGTTAAAAACATGCACCGGAATATAACAAATAGCAAAAATAATTACAACAGATATAAGCATTTTCGCTGCTTTTTGTCGATTTTCTTGAACAATTAAATTTGCCGATTTAGTTGAATTTCTTAAACTATTGGTACGACATTCATCTAAAATATATATACATATTTAAGAATTCTTTTTATATATCTTAAATTTTATATTAATAATTTCAACCTGAAAATAATAATTGACTTGAATTTATTCGATATGTTTCATCATGAAATGTTCTTTCACTTGGTAATGAACCCCAAAGAACACGTGCAATACCTGTATATGCATATACCATTAAACAAAGTGGAATAACAAATAAAAAAAGTGATATATGTAATTGATAAAGAAGATCAAGTAATGGATGTGCATCCCATTGACAACTAAACAAATTTAATGTAAATTTTGTTTTTTGTTTTTTTTTTCAGAAAAAAAAATTAATAAAATATATATATATATTACTATGTTAAATAGTTTGGTAATCGATCTTCATATTGTCGACTTAGTGTCATCATAAAAGCATCTAAATATAGTTTAAAAACAATTGCGTTCTTTTCTTTATGTTCTTAGACATTGAAATATAATATGTCTGATGTTCTATCTCTATATTTGTATATATTTAATTATAGAATGTATTTTAATTTATATTTTATATTCAAATAGATAATTTAAATAGACAGTCTAATTCATATGATTTTTTTTTTTCATTAAAATCTTATAAGGATAATTCAAAGTAAAATTGTAATTAATATACAAAAACAAAAAAATGATTCAGTTTCTATTTTGAAAATAGAATAGATTTCATAATAAGTCTATTACAATCAAAAATAAAAATAGTATCAAAGAAAGTCATAAAAATTCTTTTAGACTGTTTTTTTTTGTTTCTTTGAGAAAGACAAAAAAGAAAAGAATTCAAATCATTATTCTAACCTGGAAGAACAAGTAATAATGAAAGTATCCAAACAGAAATAATTAATATTCGTCCACGTTGTTTTGTTCCACTAAATTTTAATGGATGAACAATAGCTTGATAACGTTCAATTGAAATAGCCATTAATGTCAATACAGATACAGATATTGACATATTCTAAAGAAAAAAAAAAAGAAAGCATAACTGTTTTTCTTCTGAATAATCAAAGTATTTTATGACTAGAGCACATAAGTTATAAAACAGTGTAGATTATATTTTATTTTTTGTCATTCTTAATGCATCGAACATGTTATCTCTACTATTAATTCTTATTATTCAACATATATTAGCTGAAACTGATTTAAAATCGAATGAAACACTTTTAGAAGTAAGAAAATTAAATGCACTTCCATATGAACATAACAGTAAAGTAATTGGTCTTGATGCCGAATTTAATTTTAACATGACTAATATAACTTATGCTATGAAAGAATTAAATATTGATTCTTATTATATATCAATAACATTTATTGATGATGAACAAAATGAAGAACGAACTGCAATTATAGATTTACCAAATAATGGAACAACATATTATTATGGTCAATTAAAAATGGAAAATTTAGAAGATGAAGGAAATTATTTAATATGTGTATTTTTTTATAATAATAATCGAACAAATTTAATTGGTTCAAGTCGTTTTTGTCATGTTGTTTCCGTTTCTGATAGTTGTCAATTAGAACAATTAAAAATATCATTTACTAATCAACCTGTTTATATTTTACTTATATTAGTTGTTGTTTTATTAGTAGCTGTTGTTATATTTTCAAATATACGTCGTTGTATTTATCGACCACGTAATTTTGAAGAAAAACTTGCAACTTTACCAGAACATCATGCACGTGATTTAACTGATCTTCGTGGTCTTAGTAGACGACAAAAATATGCAGCAACAGCACTTCAAAATCGTCTACGTGCCGATTCAATTTCTACAATTGGTGAGGATTCTAATATTGATCAAGAATATTTTAATTATCATGGTTATGATAATAAATCATTAAATACTCTAACTGAATAACAAATGCTCGATTATGTTTGTTTGTTTGTTTGTTTTTTTTTTTTGAAATAATTATTTAACGAGAATGTTTTCTTTTTCTTTTTCCTGACATTCCAATGTCTTTCATATAATAAATGAAAAAAAACAAAAAGAACATACTTGTACATAATTAACAAATTTGCAAAGAAATAAACCAAAAAACCATGTTTTAGTTACATCTTGAACAACTGTAGCTGGTAAACAAAATAGAAGTACTAATAGATCAGCTGCAGCTAAATTCATAATAAACATATTAGTCACTGTTCTAAAACAAAAAAAACAAAAAGTCATAAAGATAAGAGACAATATAATATTCTATTTTGTTTTTTTTTTTGCATACAACCTCATGCTTCGATTTCGTTGTATAACAATAATTACAAGTAAATTACCAATTGTACCAACAATAAATACAATAGCATAAAGTATAATACATATCCATTCATAATATGTTGGCATAACATATTTTAAAACTATATCAAGTACCATATTATCCGATAAACAGTGATTATTAATATCAATAAAATAACAAGAACTTGAATTATATAAACATGATATTGATGAATTCATTATTTAAAATAACTGAATACTAATGAAAGAAGTTCTAGAAGTCAAAAGAAGAAGAAGAAAAAAAGAAAAATTCAATCAATATACAATTAAAAATAAATGAATGATTCTCAAAGATAAATATATGAAACATGATGAGTTCTCTTTCATCATTGTGTAGGTGTACAAAACAACAAACAAAACAAAAAAAAGGAAAAAGAAACGAATATCTCTCTCTCTGTTGAATGAACATCTATTGTGAAAGCTTCTTTTTTTTTTTTAAGTTATATCAAAAAAAACACATGCATATGATCTGGATATAAATAACGTTAAGAAATAGTCGACTGATACAATCAATTATGAAACTTATTATTTTTTTTTCCTATATATATTAGTGACAAATAGATAGATATGAATATTTCGACAAGAATCTTCTAGCCTAGCTAATTATTTATAATCAACAATGTTTTTTTTTATCAACACTTCGACGATTGATATTGATGCGATAACAGTAAAACTTATGATTTTCTCAGTATTTATATTTGGGTTTCTTTTTTTTTTTTTTGATATAAATAAGTTTGATAAGAAATAAATTATTTGACTATACCTTTTTTTTTTTTTTATTGAAATTTATTTAAAAATAAACATTATCTCGATTATTATTATATGACAAATAGTTTAGTATATAAAGTTCTTTAAGTTTATCAATAGATATTATTTTTTATTAATGCTAAAAGAACGGTAGATGTGTCGACAAGTTTTCTCTCTTATTTTCTCTTATTTCTTATTCATATTATATAGAAGACAAGTAAAAGAAAAAGAAAAAGCAAAAAAAAAAAGAAAATTAATATATACAGAAGATATATTTGACCTAAGTTTTTGATATCCATCTTATAAATGTCTCATACGGTTTATTCAACAATATTAGACTATCTACGCAGTTAACAGAACAATATAATTCATGTCAAATGTATATCTTCATATATATATATAATTATCAAGTCACAGTAGCATTTCTTCTTATTCGATACACTTTTAAATAATAATATATGCCATAATTGACGTGTCAAGGAGCGTACAATCTTATAATTATGAACCAATTCACTAACATTAATTTTTCTTTTGTTTCAAGATGTAAATGATGTTGAATATATATCATTATATTCAAAAGTCAAAAGTATAGAGCTATAATCCTTGAATTAAAAGAAAAAAAAATAATTACTTCATTACTTTATTGTACTAAATCATAAGATACAACAAAAAAAAAACATGTGAGATCTTTTAAAATCATTTCAAATCAATAGATATTTAAAAAGAGTATAATTTGAATTTTTTTTTATTGTTTATATTCTTGATCAATTAAACTAAATATTGACATTTGAAGAATGAAATATATTATTTGAAAATTTATATATTCTATTTCATATTTTCTTTGTGTATATTATAGACATTCTTTCATGTATTTATTTCATAGTTTTGCTTTTTTTTTTAATATTAATCTACTTAAATATGTCTTCTCAATATAATAAATCTTTCTAAAAACAAAATGATAAAACTCATACAGATTATTATCATATGGTCAAAGTTCTTGTATAACTAATTCATTGATGTTACTTAGACATATATTCTACGTGCATAAGAATATAAAATCAGAAAAACACTTGAATTAAACTAAGGTAAACAAAAAGAAAAGTCACGAAGAACATGTCTATTATAAATATTGATGCATAGATATGAATTTGTTCATTTGGAAAAATTTAATTAGTATAATTATTCATCAGCTATATTAAATGCTATATGTTGATGATCTTAATCAATGTCATCGTGTGTTTTCTGCTTGAACAAAAAAAAACATACTTCCTTATCTGATTTATCATAGTCTATATTTCGATGTTCATATTTGTTTTTGAATAATAAATTAGTGCGTGTTTATATTTCAACATTAATTATGATCCAACAAAAAAAAAAATATATATATATAAATAAAATAAAATTTTTTTTTTATTGAGAAAAGATAATTTATGACAAAAAGAAAACAACAAGAAATAAGATCATCATATGGATTTTAGTAAACATTTCTAACCGTAGATTCTTTCTTGCCATCAAAAAATAGTAACAATGAATATAATAATAAAAATTATTTAAAAAATGTTTGTGTTGATGGATCTTGAAATGTAATAATTGGATTTTCATTGGAATTATTTGGATCAGGATTATTGAAACTTTTTGATGCAAAAAAACCTGAAAATTTATTTACTCTTGGTGTCATTTTTCTAAAAACACAACTTTTTTTTCTTTTCTTATTAAACAATTCAAATCAAACAAACCGATGAGCATTTTCTACAAGTGCCATGGGAAATTGACCTTTTTTAACTAAACCAAGATCAGCTTTGATTATATTACGACGATAATCTATGAAAATATATATTCATATACAACACAATAATAAAAAAAAAAACATCATTCAACAAAATATATGCATTTATCAAAAAAAAATAATAACACTTTAACTGACAAGAAACTATTCTAACATATCAATTAACGATTTAATCACTCCTTAGTGTATCTTTTAGAATTTAGATGAATTATGTTATACTATAAAAAAATGTTCTTGTTTATGGATTTTTTTTTTCTTCTAAGAAAATCAAATCTATTTCGTAAATTTCTACTGTAAGTTCTCAATTAGATTATCTTTTGTAAAAAAGTTTTAAACTAAATTTCTTGAAAGGATGAAACATTCAAAAAAAAAACTACATAGTGTATATACTATCCTATGAATAAGGATTTATATTTTGAAAATTTTGTACATCAAGAAGATTTAATCTGGAAATTATGAATTTTTTGTTTTTTTTTTTTTTAATGTAAAATATTCTTGATATAGATAAAGTTTTAAATCATCATTTGAAAATATGGGTAAGATGCCCTTTTTGTAAAAACTCATTAAAAATATTCTCTATGCTTAGACAAAGGTCAACAACACGAACTTCATTTTATATCAGACATACTTCATTAAGATTTACAAGATATACTAATTAACAACTAACAAGCAAACTAATATCTAGAAAGACATTCCTCGTATAGGACAATATATCTTGAACATGTATTCATACGCATTTGCTTAGTTATAATTTCTTAAGATGTTCAATTATGTTATAATATATCAACGAATATAACTCTAATGGTTATAGTTAAATAGACTTAAATTATTTTAATCAAAAAGAATATTTTTGATATATTCTATCATTCATGTGTAAGAGAAAAATTTATAATTTTCATTGTGGATTTGATAAATATAATAAATTCATGAATTATAGAATTATATTAATTTATCAATTATAAAAAAAAAGCAACCCAAATTATAATAGAAAATATTTATATAAAAATTAAAACAACAAAATACCATATCTGAATGATGTTTGACGAGAAAATGCTAAAACATAATATTCGTTTTTTTTTTTTACATTTAGAAAAAAATCAATCACATAAAAACAAACAGAAAGCAAAGAAAAGAATTGCCTATTCGTTAAATGATACGGTAGCAAAAGTACCGACCTGGCATTTGATGTGTTGCCATTGATCGCGTTCTCGCAATGTTCGAACGAATAGTTGGGAGAAAGACAGAAACTATTGATATATATACATATAATTATATACAATAATCCTAATAATTGTCTATATCTATCTATAATATTTTTTTATCAATTTATTTTAATATATTATAACTTACAACTATGATTTGTATAGTCTCCTGGTCCATCATCAAAATCTGGTCTTGATTTTTCTCTTGTAAGTTGAGCTTCACGTGAAGCTTTCCAACTCATTAAAAATTGTCGAGAATTATCTGTTATTTGTTTTCCATCAAGCATTTCTATTTTATTATTAAAAAAATTTTAATTAATCATTTAATAAAACAAACAAACAAACAAAAAAAAATTTATTTACCTAATGTTGTTGATACAACAATTAATCGTTCACGATAACGTGCTTTTGTACATATTGGATTTCGACTTGTATCAAGTCGTTTTAAACGTGACCATATACTTAAAAGTTGAATAAGTTCACGAAGATTTTCTAAATTATTATTGCTTGCTGTTAATTCTTCTAATCTTTGTAAACAACTTAATTCAACTAATGAATCTAAATTATTGCCACTAACATTTAAAACTTCTACAACAACAAAAAAGAAAAAAGAAGATTTTTTGATATTTCTTTTTTTTTTCAAAAAATATTTTACCAAGAATTGATGATAAACATTGTAAAGTTCGTGGTTCAAAAACAAGTTTTTCACCTTCAGGTAAACGTTGATTTTCAATATAAATTTCTTTTAAATGTATACATTTATCTAAACCTTCAAGAACTTGTATTTGATTACCACCAAGATATAATTTTTGTAATTTTGGACAATAATCTAAATTTTCTAATTTTTGTAAACGATTATTTTGTAAATAAAGATGTGTTAAATTTTCAGCAAAATTTAAATTTTCAATTTTATTTAATATATTATCATAAAGATAAATTACTGTTAAAAGACGACAAGGTGAAATAGAATCCTAGAAAAAAAAAATTTTTTTTTTTTTCTTAGAATAAAAAATAAAATTTATTACAATAGAATCAATGCCTCGATTTTGAAATGGTAAATGAGTAAGACGTGAAAGATAATGTTCAACTGTTTCATCAGCACGTCGTTTATTATGACCAGGTGTTTGTTTAGCAATAAGATCAGCTGTTAGTTTTACCATTTTGAATATTCTTTAATACGTAAAAGAAAAAGAAAAAAAAAAATACTAACATGAGATATTTATTATCTGTTTGTTGCGAAGCAACGACCCTCAAGCCGGTTTACATTGAGTTAAAAATAGAGTATTGTCATAGACTTTGATTTTTTTTTTGTTTTCATGAAAAAAAAAAGTAGATGTATTGTTTCTTTTTATTGAATTGGAATTTTTTTTGTTTTACTTATACGTGTTAAAATTTCGTTTTTCAAACAATAGAACATCCTATAGAATAGTTTTGTCAAGGACTTAAATCAACTTTTTTTTTTTGAACAACAACATACTCTGTAAGCAAGTACTAAGGACAATTTTCAATAATCAGATACGCATTCGAACTAATAAATGAAGATTTACAAAATTGCATAAGGTTCTGACTTTTAGATTTATATGTTATGAAGTTATAAGCATCTTATTTGACAATCTTAGCCGATTTTTCTTATTTTTTAGAAAAATCAATGTTCCAGCATTTTTTTTTCAGAAAATTGATTAAGAAAACTATAGAAAATATCTTAGAGAAGTGTGTAATATACCATTCGATGCATATTTATCTCTTCTTTTCAACGGTGAAAACTACAGATCTCTATCTTGCTTCTATCAAAAGTTATTCAAAAAAAAATATCCACCAACGTTTTCTTTTTGAAATAGGCAATAGTATTGATCAAATGAATACTTTTTCTTTTATATTATACTGATGTATTTTTTTTTAGTACTTATTCGATAATATCGATCTTAAGATAGTGTAGAGCTTGTGCAAGTATGTAGCAAGTAAAGCGAATAACTACATCGATGAGTGCAATGTTTATATAAATATCTTGTACTTGAAACTCATATTTAACCCATCATTAATGTTTTAGAGATGTCTTATTAGCATCAGTATTGAAATTAATTCTAATGCTTTCATATTATTTGATATTAGAATTATTTAATACAAAAATGTTAGCATCAAATGAAGATTATTTTAAATTTTAATAGATTTATTATCTGGAACTAGGTCTCTAAGAGTTCAAATTCTATGTTCTCAGTAATAGAACAAATTCTTTTTTATCTTGAAAATCGTATTTATGGATACAAAAAAAAATTCATTACTCGGTTATTAAAAACTTTTAACCTGACCTCTCAGAGACGTAGTCTCTAATAGCAAATGTATTAGAATTAAAACTAACACTTTCATATAAAATAATTCTAATGCCAAACAATACAAAAAGTATTACGATTAATTTAAATACTAATGCTAAAGAATGAGCATTTTGCTTTTGTAACAATGATACTAATACGGCACTCCTATTCATATTGGAATTCGCTCATATAAAAAAACACTATAAATAGTATTGACTGAACGTATGTCTAGAATATGGATAATATTTATTAGCCAATAGTTTCTGACAAGGTCATATATCAGTTTTCTCATACTCGATACATTCGATTATCAGTGATGAATATATTCATTTATTTTTATCTTTTTTCTTTTTTTTTGTATTATGCAATTGATTATCAACTGAATATATTAGATGTTCAATAATCTATGCATTATTTGTACGAATGTCTCCAGGACTACAGAGAAAATTTGAGACCATGAAGTCTTGTGAAGTTCTAGAATTTGATGTTTCTTCTTTCAGAAAAATCCAGCAATTTCGATGTTCTCAGACATCACCCAAAATTGTATTGAGATAATTTCATTTTTTTTTTAAATCTTACATTCGAATAGCTACGGAAGTGTATTATTGAAAAATTGCAAAATATTCTGAAAAAAAAACTCTTTATCAGGAGCATGTTGAGCATCCTGATGACGCGTATGACAAATGAACATATGTAATTTTCCTTGTTCCTGCAACGTACGCATTCCAATGAGATCTTCTGTGAATTGACGCGATTGATTCCATGTTTCAGTTTCCAATGATTGTGGTGCATAGCCCAGAAACCAACCTGATTGTGGCGGTGTTATAGTATCATCTATATCTGAATATGTCATAACAAATGCATTAAGTTTGAGCATATTTGTACGATAAGTTTCATTTCGAACTTCACGTTCGTTATTAATGTCAGGAAGAAAATGACTTCGACTTATGTATTTCTCTAATTGAAAAGGATCACGCCAGAAACCAGCAATACTAATTACATTCTGAACAGATTCTTCATATGCATATTTTGAAACTAATTCCCAAAATTCACGAGGAAGTAATTTAAGAGAAGGAACACCAAAAACACCTTGATGAGCACCAACCAGTGTGATCAAATTGTAGACAGGCAGTGAACATCGTTCTACAGCTCCTCGAACAATTAAACTACCTTGTGAAACACCAAGCATGTTGAAACCTTCACGTAGATGTTCATCGGCAAGAACAGTAGCACAAAAGAGTTCTACTTGTTTGTTCATTGGTAGTAAAAACGAATCATCAAATCCATTGCCAATCTCGATTGATACAACATAGATACCCGGAAATGATGTGGTAAGCCAACCACCGAGCTCATTCATGTCAGCAGCAGTTGCCGTAACACCATGCATCAACACTACGGGTCTATATATAGTTGTATAAGCAGTGCTGGTTAGAAGAACTATGATAAACAGAACGAGAGCCATCTTTTTTCTTTAACGAAAAATACAACATGCTGTGCTTTATGTAGAGAATAACGATAGACACCTGTTAGTTCTCATCCATATCTGTAAAAACAATCGAAAGTCAACGTTGAAATAAATATAATTGTTCTTGAAATGAATCTTGTCTCTTGATAATAGATCAATAGTTACTTTATGTGCTACTCATTAGAATGATCAATCAATATGGCAAATGTGTTAACTGTAGTTGCTTTGAAATACAAAGTCGTCCAATGTGTTCTCGATCTAGATTAAAAATTTAAATGCAACTATTCGTTAAATTGGTACAAAATGTATCTTTCAGTCTCATTCGATATCTCTCTAAAAACAAACATTACATAAGGAACCATACATTATTTTAGAGAAGACATTGCACTTGTTAAAACTTTCTAATTTTTTTTTTAGTAAGTCGTAAAATGTTCTAGATAATTAAAAGAATCAATTAAGATAAAAAAAGATTCCAGATTGTAAAAGATTCTAGTATTAAATTGTTTTTTAAATTTTATAACGAAGAAAAAAAAATTAGTTGGAAGATGATTTGCTTTGATTGTTCTATTCTATTCTACTTTTCATGGTACAAATACTTAAGCAGAAAGTTATGTATTTATTGATAAATAGAATAACAATCAAACATTGTTCTGCTGTATATTACTGTGTCGATATTGATAGTACTTTCAGCTTGTACTTTACAAACCTGATAATGCATCTTAATCGAATGGTGAGTGATAAACAATGTTAGTACTTCTATTAGAAACCATCAGAGTAATAAAATTTCATCTTGTTCTAGTATTGTTATCGATCTCAGTGAAAAATATACCTAGAAAAATCAGAATTATATTTGTTTACTGATTTATAAATCTCATTTTGCAGGACAATTCGATAAAAACCAGTTGAAAAAAATAATCTCTTATCTCGATTATCATCTCAGTAGTAAAATTTACTTTAATCTTTTCAATCGATTGTCAAGGTGTTGGAAAAAAAATAGTTTATACTAATACGAAGTATTCCAGTCGAAATTATATTTATTATAACAGAAGTTGTAGAACAAATATGATATACATGATCGCAATGTCAATATCCTAATATGCGAAGATGGCTCAAAATATAGTTTATTAACTGATGAAATAAGAAAAGAACTCATCGTTTACTAAAAAAATGATCTTTTCTGTAGCGTCGAACATTAGTGATACAGAATTTTGTCTATTGTAAAAGAAAACAGTGTATATGTAAAATAAGCTGTTCTTTGAAATTGTGCTACTTTTCACGCTGTATCTAATAGCATATTGTATTAATCTAATGAAGCATATCAAGTGACGAAAACATGAAATAAGAAAAAAGAAATGAATGCATTCTGTGTCACAAAAATTCTTTTTTTTCGAAGCATCAATAGTCTATAACTCAGGATTTTGTGTATTTTAAAAACAAAAAGGGTATCTATAAAATAAACTGTTCGACGAGATCTATAGAATTTTTCATACTACATCTTGTGATATATTTTGTTTTTTTTTCTAAACACATCATATTAGATGATAAAAAAATACTTTTTTGTCCACGGAACATTGTAATTACGTTCCATATATTAAATTGTTATCAGATCATATATTATATTTTTGTTTTGATAGAAAAATCTAACGATCATGTATTTTGTTACAAATTAGAGATGTCTGTTTTTCGATTGGTTTTTTTCCTGTACCTCAACTTAACTTTATATCTCAAAGAGACATCATAATGTCATGTAGAGAAAGACAGAAGAAAAGAGTATGTGCCATAGGGTCATATTATGATGAAAATATTTACTTGATGATTAAATCATGTTTGCCTCTAGGACAAAGTCGACACGTATACCATCATAATAGTGTCACATCGTTTTGAAAAATTGTAATGAAAGAATTCACACATCGACGCTAATAAATAGAAATTGTTCTTATGTGAACTTGTGTTTATTTTCATTCAAATAAAGACACACACTTTGTCTATACAAACATGTGGGATCCTGTATCTGTGGGTCTTGCGTTCGCTTCTTCAGTATTTAGTAATGCTGTAATGGGAGTTGGTGCGTTAGTTCAAAGAATATATAATTATCCGGACGACAACTTGGAAAATTCAACTATGGAATATGGCTACCAGACCACGTGTTCTGATTATACGTTAACCACTGACTATTTATACATGACTACTCAAGTAACATATCCATATACATGGACAACTCTAACTATGATGTAACATAGAACTTGATATATGCGATCAATATTGTTAGAAATCATAGTAACAAGCGCCCATTTTTATTTCTTTATTCTTCTTTTTCACCTTTCTCGTATGTATCTATGCGTATGTCTTTCATTTGTAGTATACATATTCACTTTAGTACGTATCTAGATTAATTTTTTCTTCTATTCTAAACTTATTTAAATGTAGTTAGAAAAAAACAGATGCTTAACGTCACCTTCGTTATTATGCTAGTTTTAGCCGATGTAGGAGAAGGGAACCCATCTCCCTTCTCGTTTTTTCTCTCATTCTTCTTCATTTTTTGTTTTTCTACTTTTTTTTTCTCTTTTGTGTGTACGAACGTGTCTGTAGATGATGCATGGATAGCTGAAAGTTGTTTTTTAATGAAACAATTAGCTAAGAAGTAAAAATTTTCTCGTTTTGTTGAATATATTGTTAGAGAGAGAAATCTCTGTAATCATTATCTTGAAACGAGAATTCACTTCTTATCTTGTTTCCATTTTGTTATTTCGAGTAACGTCTTCTACTTAGTTTGCTTATGAACAATCGATCTTTTTTTAGCATATTACTATAAGAACTATGTTCAAAATAGTTCTTCTTGACTTGTCAGTATTTGTTTTATGGTACATTCTTTGCTTTTATTTTTATCTTCCTTAATCTTGTTTTTCTTTTTTTTCCACACATTTTTAATTGTAAAGAAACTAGACAGAGTCGATTTATTTAACTTGAATAAAATGACGAAAGCATTTGATTGATAAGAATCAATTTTGTTTTTACATTTCTCTTTAATATACTTCTCACTTTCATACGTAAACATGCATGTGTAGATCGATTGATGTGCATGATTGTAAAAAGAAAAAGCTGCCATATTATCATCTAATTTTTTTTCATGACATTATACTTAAATGAAGACAGCAATCGTGAATAGTTCGTTGACGGTGATGAGTTCAGTAGAAATTGTTCTTTGAAAAAAGGAGAAAAGAGACTTATTGAAGAAGACCGTTTGTTGAAAATGACTAGCAGAGACATATGAGCTGGGAAGATGTACTATGAAGATCATTGAATCCTAAATCGACAAGTTCGAATCCACGATTGAGCATGAAAGAAAAAAAGAGACCAATAAAGTATTTTTCAATACTACATACAATGATCTCGTTTTATTACTATTTGTTAATTCATCAATGTAACCCTAGAAAAATAATACAAAATCATTATATATTTTTCCGAGAATCATTGGCAAAATGTAACAAGTATCATCTAAATAACCTTTTATTTTCATCTGAGTAGTGCGAATAACGATACACATAACGAGAAAGTTATTGTCCTCTGTTAGATGCCATTTGATTTCATATTATAGCAACGAATAAATTTTTATGAGACTAAGAAAACTTATGTTTGCAATGAGCTATGTTAATTCTAGTGATGAATATTCTATTTGAAATGAATTATTGTCATAGTACGAGATAACATCAGGCATGTAGCTGATTAAAACATTAACTACACTTCTAATAGAAGATGCTACTGTGATGCATCAATTATCGAATATGCCATATAGATAGTGTAAGTACTATTCAATTAAAGGTAAATGCAAAGTAAATTCATTTATTAATGGTCAAAGAACGATTGCCGAGACAATTATCATCGATAAATGAATTTTAATTTTTAACGTATCAAAAGTACCGTTCATTAGTTTTGTTTAGAACATAATTCAATAAAAATTAACAACATAATATTATCTATGCTCTATGTACAGTAATTTTTCAACCAAGTTAAATTCGAAGTGAACGAAACATCAATAATTAATGCTATTCAAATAAATATAGATTTAAAGTTTTTCTTTTTACATCTTTTTTTAAATCTTTTAAATTGAAAAAGTTCAAATATATAACACCAATCAGTGTTCATGTTTATATTATTTTCAATACCTCGATGATCCCTCGATTAAATACATCTGTCTATATATTCACCGATTGTGGTTCATGTTCATTCGTTTTTTTTTTTTGTCTTTTCTTTCACATGTTCATTTCTATCGTTTTCTTCATTACAGATGCTAAACTCAATCGATAAAACAACCAAACGTGATCATATTCCACCGATTAAAAATAATTTATCAGAACAAATAAAAATTTTTCAAGATTCTATTAAAAACGATCAAACAAAAATGAATAAATCGAATATATTATCAACGTAAAAGACAAAGTCATTCATCTAATCATTTTTAAAAGCATTGTATTTTAGATCCGAAGATCATAAACCTCTTCCACAAAATATGTCAACAAAAACTAATGATACATCTCATTCAATAATTACAACAACAACAACAACTACTACTACAACTACTACTACTACAAAAGCCATTAATCCAATTAATAGTCATAGTTTAGGTTTTTTTATTAAATATCAATAATGTTTATATTTTATTTAATCTACTTTTAGCTGAATGTATATGTCCACTTTGTAATGAAATCTATCAAATGACTTGTCATCGACCAATAAGTGAAATGTCATGTGGTCATATTATATGTTATCAATGTTTTGTTCTTAATACAAATCAATTCGGATGTATACAATGTAAAAAATCTTCAGAAGTAATTTGATAAGAAAAAAACAAAATACATTTCATTATGTTCAAAGAAATTCTATTTAGAAAAATAATGATAATATTAAATTATCATCAATTACAAATATTCCATCGAATAATAAAAATACGATTCAGCAAGGAGTTCATGAAAAATTTGAAAATCATTCATTAAATTTTGAACATCAAATTTTAAATGTTTTTCATCATGTTTTTGGACTTTCAGAAGTTTGTATAAGAATTTATTTTTATAACGAGTGTTTCAAAAATTCATCGAGAAAAAGAACATGATTAATTCAAGCTATATATGTGAACTTTCTATCATTTTATTTGATGTTCTTTAAAGTTTTGTTTCACATAGCTTTATTTACGCTTACGAGGAAACCTCTCCAGGTGTAAAATCGCTTTTCGCTCGAGACTATTGCCGTTAGATAGGCCTTAGCGAGTAGTGAAAAAGTCCATAAGGGTTTCGGTGCACGGTCTTCTCTTGTTGAGTTATGAGTGTTTTACCCAATTTTTGGTCTATGGGCATGGCATTTTCGAAAAAACTCAATGGTCGAATTTCGAGCTGAAATGTTGTCCATAGATAGGTATTATGGTCACTAGAAAGTCCCCAAAGGTTGAGCCAAAATGAACACATCCTTACCGAGCTATTCATATTTTAAAGAAACACCTGTTTGGGACTGCATTTCAAAATAGGGACATTTCCATGACAAGCTGATATCTCGGCAAGGATGAGGTCGTTGTGACTCAAACCGTGGAGACTTTCTAGTGACCATGATACCTATTTATGGACAAAATTTCAGCTCGAAATTCGCTCATTGAGTTTTTTCGGAAATGCTATGCTCGTAGACCAAAAATTGGGTAAAACACTCATAACTCGAGAATAGAAGGCCATGCATCGAAACCCTTATGGACTTTTTCACTACTCACTAAGGTCTATCTGATGGCAATAGTCTCGAGCGAAAAGCGATTTTACACCTGAAGAGGTTCCCTCGTTAGTTATTCAAAATACCTTTACTAAAATGAAACTTACAAATCCATTATTTTCAAGTTTCTCAAAAACTAAAACATTACATAGAACTTCTGTTGAAACCGTCGCGTTTGTCACTAGCGAACTATTCGAGGCAGACACTTTTCTTTTGGAGTAATGATCATTAAAATGGATTTTTTTAACTTTGTCTATAAACAGTTCTCGAAGTATCAAATTTACAAAAAAAATCTATGGTATTACCCATAACTTCCATGGATAGCACATAGACAAAAATTGACTGACATGATTCAATATACAATCATAGGTGACTCGAATCGAAACTATTTTGATTTCTAAGATTTATAGGCATAAGAATTTTGTGAGTATCATGTTGAATAAACATTGAACGAATTTATAGAAAATTCACGCAAATTATTTGAATTTTTCAAGAGTTATTCATGTTCTTTCTTCCAAAGAACTTTTAAGCACTTTGTATTATCGAAAATTATTTCAAATTCTAGTTTCGACATAATCAATGGGAAGCAATTAATGCTGCTCTTCAACATCATGATTGTTTTATACTTATGCCAACAGGTAAGAATGATTTTAATGTAACAAACATCATTTAAAAGAAAAAATGTTGTTTTTTTTTTCTTCTTCCTAGGTGGTGGTAAATCTTTATGTTATCAATTACCAGCTGTTCTTGATACTGGTGTTACATTTGTTATTGCACCATTACGTTCACTTATATTTGATCAAAAACAACGATTAAATTCATTAAATATATCATGTACAGCTTTAACTGGAAATATATCACAAGAAGAAGCTGATGAAATCTATCGTGAATTATATAAAAATTTACCTGCATATAAAATTGTTTTTATTACACCGGAAAAAATTTCTATGAGTGTAAAATAATTTTCTATATAGATAAAAAGTAATTAATTTGTTTTTTTTTTCTATCAATAGGATCAATTGAATACTGTTCTTCGAGATTTATATAATCGTCAACTTTTAGCACGATTTGTTATTGATGAATGTCATTGTGTTTCGGAATGGGGTATGTTATCAAAATAGTGATATAATATATAATTATAATATTTATCTTTGTTCGCAACATGTCATCAATACTTATTAAAGTATCCTCGGTTTACTTCCTATGAAAATTGATTTCGGACCAAAAACAACTAAAATAACAAAGTATTCTAATTCGATAAAGAACAAATTGAATTAGGTCTCCGACCAAGTAAAAGATTTAATCACAAATTCATTGAGTGTCTTTTTTATGATAGATCATTTGAGAGTGTCAGCTAGAAGTTTCATGAGATTTGAATTGTTCTGGCTTAAAATGGATTTTGAGGAGAAGCAGCATCTTCAGTATCAAACTTTGGAATACTTATATAATCTTGATTTGCAGACAGTGATTTCCGGAGTTTTCTTATAAATCTCAATATTCATTTTTTCGTTAAACATATTCAAAATGTAAATATCTCAGCAAAGATACGTTCCTTCTGGTTTAGACTTTAGAAAGTTTCTAGTGACTATAAGGTCCATTCGTGGATAAAACTTCATCCATCATGATTGATCCAATGGCATTACGCTCAAGCGAAAAATAATCTGACAGTTGGCAACATTGTTCGACACGTATTCACAAAATACTACATTTATAGCATGCTGACCAGGTTGTGACACATACATATTCTCGTTCTTAGCTAGCCTTCTATAAAGAATTCAAGCAATTGAATACAAGAACGCTGGTCTTCTGTACAGAACAACAGTTAGTATTAGTTGTAGGAAAGAAATCCGGCTAGGAAATCTGTTAGCACTCTACACTCAGAAGTATTCTTCCTTCAAATAAATATTTTATATTTAGATTGATAGATTTAAACGTATTAATTTGAACGAAAACAAAGCCTTACTTTTTTTTTTTACTTGTAGGTCATGATTTTCGTCGTGATTATTCCCAACTTGGTATTTTATTTCTTCATATTATTCTCTAATAAATAATCTTTTGATTAATTTAAGGTCAATTACGACTTAATTATCCGAAAATAAATATAACATTATTAACAGCAACAGCAACATTACGTGTACAACAAGATATTCTTCAACAACTTCATATAACTAAAAATTATAAATTATTTACTCAATCATTTAATCGATCAAATCTTATTTATGAATGTATATCAAAAGAATCCAATGATCTTGCACTTAGTCAAATAGCAAATTTAATTAAAATAAATTATCAAAATCAATGTGGTATTATTTATTGTTTTTCACGTGCTGAATGTGATCGAGCAGGTAATCAACAAAAGACAAAACATCAAATAATTTTTTTTTTGTTTTTTTACAAAAATAAATTAATATCATTTTTAGCTCAATATTTATTAGCTCATAATATTCATGCACTTTCTTATCATGCTGGTTTAAATGATTCATTACGACAAACAATACATATGAGATGGATTAATGATGAATGTCAAGTAAATTATTTTGATCAATATAAATAATTTAAAAAAAAAACAAAATTCTATTTAAGGTTATTTGTGCAACAGTAGCATTTGGTATGGGTATTGATAAAAATAATGTTCGTTTTGTTATTCATTTTTCTATGCCACAATCAATTGAGGTTGAATATTATAGATTGATTTGTATACAAGATATATATATATTTTTTTTCATTTTATTAGGGTTATTATCAAGAATCAGGTCGAGCTGGACGTGATGGTGAAATTGCTAATTGTCATCTTTTTTATTGTTATGAAGATTTTCTTAAAATGAAACGACTTATATTATGTATGATTTAATTTATTAACTTTTTTTCCATCTTGTCAAAAATCTATTTTCGTCCTAGAACAAATGATCTATCAAAAAGTTTCATATATTAAGGATCACAAAGCAGATCATCATATGTCTCAGATTTCTATCCCAAATCTAATGAGACAGAATTTGATTTTTCAAAATCTTCTGTATCAATTTTTCGACGAGAAATCTGGAACGTACAAGTAGAGAAAAAAATTCGTTTTTGAGTAAAACGCTAGAGGAAATATATCAATCATAGTCTACTATATGTTAATGACTATTGATTTTTGATAGAAGAGAGGAGAAAAATTAATTAAAAATTTTTTTCTCTTTTAAGATGATGATGAATCGAAATCTTCAATGCAAACAAAACAAATTCGTATTAATAATATAAATCGTGTTTATGATTATTGTATTAATAATGTCATTTGTCGACGAACACAGTATGTTAATCAATAAAAATAAAAATTGAATATTTTTTTGTTTTTGTTCTATTTATTATTTTCAAAATAGACTCTTAGAATATTTTGGTGAATTATTTCCATCATCTGAATGTAAACGTATAATGTCAACTGAATGTGATAATTGTCGACAAGTCTATAAAACATCATCTATTGATTGTACACGAATATCGATTGAAATTTTAAAATTAGTTTCCGATTTAAATCAAACAAATTCAACATTATCTTATATTATTGATATATTACGTGGAATTAATAATAAAACAATTCGAGATGCTGGTCATCATCGTTTACGTGCATTTAATTCATGTCATCAATTAACTCGACTTGGTAAAGACGATATATAGATTGATTACAATTTTTAGTTCTAATTCCACCTAAAGACTAAAGAGACATTGTTTCTATGGAAATTATCATCATTATATCATATACTATATGTCTGTACCTCTGAAAAATAGACATTTGTTTTCACAAACTTTTACATTACGCCTTCGAAAGAAGGAATCTGAGAAAAAAAACACTAGTATGCTTATAGAGCTGAAGTTTCAGAATTTCGTTATTTGACTCTAAATTAGAAATGAATTGAAAGTATACCTATCGACTATATTGATGAGTGTAATCACTTGCGAAAGCTATCTTATTTTCGCCAACATACTTCATGGATTTTTGCCAATAGGTGAAACCTTATTGAAGAAATTCCAGTTACTTACAGAGTTCCAACGATTGAATCTATATAGATAATGTTCAGTATCTGTCTGTGCGTCTGTGCCGGGTCAAAGGTCAAAGGTTAAAGGTCAAATAAGGCTATAAGGAGAAGGCCCAAGAGCTGTTTTAATGGAGACCCATAGGTCCTCAAGAGCTATTATACGGGGGCATCTATAAATTCCCCAGGGCTATTATATGGTATATCTATAGAACATGAAGAGCTATAATATGGGGTAGCCATAGGTTCTCAAGGGACTAAGGCAATAAGGAGATAAGGCTATAGGGCTGAAGGCTACATGGACTATAAAAACATGTGCGATATAAGAGTATGAGACCGTAGGGCTATCTATCTATATACATAATATCGAGTGTCTGTATGTCTGTTCCTGAATGAAAAGTTAAACGTCTTAGTTCATACGTTAAAGGAGAAAACAGCCGTGCAGTATGCACGGGCTCTCGCTGGCAATAAATATTGGATGTTAGACTAATTTTGTTTTTAATATGTTTTTGATGATCATAGATCTCGAACGACTTATTTCTCGTCTTATTATTGATGGTTATCTTAAACAAGAATTTATTGATCAACAACCATCTTCGATCATAGCTTATTTACGTCCAGGTGTTAATGCTATTCAGTTAACTTCTTCAAATTCACAACGATCTGGAAATACAACAAAAATTCATATTGAATTAACAATTCGAATTGAACAAATGAATAATAATAATAATAATAATAATACAGATGAAGAAAAATCAAATTCAATACAAAAATCAATTGAACAAATTAATGAACAATGTTTTATTGAATTAAAAAAAGAATTAAAAATTATTTTTGGTACTTCTTCTTATTCAAATGTCATTTCAGAACAAACAATTAAAAATTTAGTTAAATTAATGCCGTAAATCAATTGAAAAAACGTTTTTCTTAAGAATTATTTTATTTTATAATTTTTAGTCGATCAAAAGAGAAAATGATTAAAAATATACATGAAATAACAGAAGAATTATATAAACAACATGATTTTAATCGTTTATTACGTATTTTACAACGTTTTGGAAGTCAACGTGATGAAATTAAACGAAAAGATTCAATACAAAATTCATCCGATAGTGAACATGAAATAGATTTTTCTCTAGATTTTACTGATCGATCAACATGTGACAAAAAACGACCAATGGCATCTGTTATAACAACAACAATTACAAAACGTAAACGAGGACATGGTAGTAGTTTTTAAGTATATCTATTTTTTCTTTTTTTTTGTACAGTGAGAATGTTTTATTTATTTATAATTATTATTTCGTATTTTGTTCACATGGTTTTTGTTGTATGATAGTTTAAAAAGAGATTCATTGATAAATAAAATAATAGATTAATAAAATTTAATAGAAGACATTATAAATGACACTTATTTAATTTAATTTAAATATCGCTGAATTACTGAATTATTCAGAGCAAAATCCAATTAAATAATGATCAAATCATCCATAAATAATGCCTAACCAAAGGAGAAAACAGAGAGTCAACAAAAACGAATAAAGAAGAGAAGAAAGTCAAACACATTTTGACATGCGAACACTTATTACAAAATTTTGACATGAAGAGAGTTTTAACAGTCTTTTACAAATTATTTCATATAAGAATTATGCAGCATCTCATTTGTAAATGAATGTATGTCAATCGTAAAGATACTTGTCTTGTTTTCTTTTTGTTTGATAAGTACCCGTTACATTAGATTTGGTACTTGAATTGTGTCAAACACTTTCGAAAAAGTGTCGAATCACAGACGAGACTGAAAGGATGTGGATCATTCTTTCACAAACATTCACACACACACTCGTTCATTTATACATTATTTATCATAATACATTGCAATCTATTGAAAATACGAAAAATAATAATTCATTATTGAATGTATTTTATGGAATAATGGATATATTTCTATTATTTATGCATTATCGGTTATATAGGTTTGACCAACCACAATTTATCAAGTCTGTCAAAATAATTTCAAAACGAACACGTCAATACACGTCGAAAGAAGTGGGAAATAATTTTCAAGGAAAAATTGCAGACAGAGAAGTGTGACTATACTTAATCAAGTTTGAAAAAACAGTTATAAATTGGCGACAAACATGGAATGAACACGAATAGAAATACAAAAATGACTTTCTTTTTTGTTGAATTTCAATGAGGATTAATGATTGTCTGAAATATCTGACGGTGAAACAAATGCAGAAACGAAGTTCAACAGGATATGTACTTCACACTAATTTACTTAAAATTGTTGTAATTAATAGACCTGATGAAACGAATTACATTGCACTTCGATAAGCATTTTAAAAAGTGCAAATTTTTATTTGCTACTGATGAATGCGAAGCTGGCTCCCCAAAGAACATCCTCAAAATTTGCCAGCCTCTAGAGAACATCTTCAATCGTATGTCTATGCAATAAAAAAAGGATTTTATAAATTTTTGACTGAGTTATTAATTTTAACTTTTTGCACTAAAGTGTCAGTAATTAGTCTTGATTAGTAATTAAACGATACAAAAGAAAGTAATCTTTAATATTTTCTGTATGGAACGATATTTATGCATAGTTTCCTACAAAAGTACATCAGAATCAACTAAAGGTGACATTCATATGAAACACTAGAGAGTTTTTAAAAACTGTTTCTGAATCTGGAGTATTTAATTAGTTTGAATTTGATTAATCAATAACTCAGTCAAAAATTTATCAAAACTTTTTTCCCTTAAATCAAGATTGATAAGATACAATTCGTAGTATTCTTGAATGAATGAAATAATAAGAATCATCTAGGGCTAATGTTTACTTCGAAATACTACCAGATGATCACTGAATAATACTAAAAACTTTCAGTAGGACTGATATTGTTAGAATTAACAAATCTAATTGATTGGAAAACATCTCAATATTAAAAACAATTAATTGATGTTCAATTTTTAATATTTAAAATTACATATGAGACATGAGAGTATCATTTTACGTATGAAAAATAGAATAGTTTTGTGTTCTCTTAGAATATTGAATTTTCTTAGAACGAACGATTATTATCTTCTTTCCAAATATTACTTTCTTGTAATTCTGTTGTCTCACCTTCTCCTTTATCTTGAATTCTTGTTTTTGTTTTCAGTTTCTTTTTCTAGAAGCTTTAGCTTGTTGTGCTTAAGGCATTATAATTGAGTGCTCTATTAAGTGTTCTATTAGTCAATTAAGTTACACGAAATGTTTCGGTGAATCAGACTTTGCACATCTTTGATTAGTTTATTACTTATTAAAATCCGACTTAGTCAATTGCTAAAAAGCATGCGTTAAAAATAGAAGATTTATTTGTATGATAGACATGTGTGTGTGTCTGTCTTAGAATAGAATCGACTATCTGAACAATAATTAAAAGGTCTTTAATGAAGGTTGAAATCTTTTCATTGTAACCACATCTATTCTCACATTCACACCCTCCCCATGTAAAAAAAAACGCGAAAAATCTGATTAAAATCGATTTTTCAACAAAAATCATAAAAAATCGATTAAAAGTACCAATTTTTGATTAAATTCTAAATAATAATCGATTAAAATCCATTTTTTGCTGGGAAAATTCATTAAAATCGATCTTCAGGCAGAAAATCGTGATAATTGATTAAAAATTGGATCGATTCTAATCAATTATTTTTCGTAATCGATTAAAATCAATTTTTCACAGAAAATCGGAATAATCGATTAAAAATTGAATCGATTCGAATCCATTATTTTTCGTAATGGATTAAAATCGATTTTACTCTGGCAAAATCCATTGAAATCGATTTTTTAACAGAAAATTGGATTAATCGATTAAAAATTGAATCGATTCGAATCCATTACTTTTCGTAATCGATTAAAATCGATTTTTCTGATTAAAAATCTGATTAAAATCTGATTAAAATCGTGCCATTTAAATCGATTTTTAATCAGAAAAAAATCGATTAAAATCTGATTTTTCCCGAGTTTTTTTTACATGGGTCTAGTCTTACAAGAATTACCAAGTGAGAGCATTGACAAAATATCTTAACTTGATTGTTGACACAAATGAATGTAGAAACAAAAATCATAAATCAGATAATAATCTTTCTTATTTTCTATGTTTATTTATACTACCATCGTTCCGGCATTAGATATAGATTCTAACTCTGTTTTAATTCTTCAGTCTTATGGTTTTCCATGAAAAAAAAAAGTTCTATCTGAAGATTCTCGTTGCTGAGATGAAATGTTAACACCATAGTTGTTCTACACCTTAATCGACAATCACATCCTAGCTTCATTGCTTTTCACATCGAAAATATGATGTCTTATTAATGAAGTTTTATTATCTTTTCGTTGAAAATTGACACACGATAGACTTTCAAAATGATGTTAAAATTAGCATTATTGTTCTATTGACCTTGACCAATAGAAAATCATACTATTCCTAATGAAATCAATTGTATATAAATGTCAAAGTCTATTTGCACATATAAAGGCTGATGAATAAATGAGTTGTATCACATTCGAATATCCTGGAAGTCGTTCATGCAAAAAAGATTATAGAACATGCAAAACATAGACAAAGACACTAATAAGTTTTTTGTATATTTTCCATGTAAGTAGATTTTTTGTCGTGTCAATTAGCCTGAACATATGTAAGTTTTTTCTAAAATATTTTCTGTCAATCAATTCTTTTAGTATAGCAGTTAAGTAGAATCGAAATAATTTATCAAAAAAATTCTAATGTCCATGATGCGCAAGTAAAACAGCTTCATTGTGTTATACGAATGAGAATAGTGAAAATTTTTAATTTACATTTTCATGAATAGATAATTATGATATTCATATTTATAATGAAGAAAAATAGCAGAATCATTCTGGAAAAAGAGATCTCATTCGTAAAGAACGTTTTTTAAGAATCACTTTCATTTTAAATTAAACAAGTGAAACAACTCACGATATAAACCGATTGTGTTTTTATATTTCAAGATTAACATTATCATAAAATTGACTTACTTTGTTGATAAAAAATGAATCAAAGTGAAAATACTTCAGTAACATCTTTGGAATCAATGCTTGATCGTTATATAAAATTATATTTATTGGCAACAATATCAATTCCATCAATATTAACATCAATTTATATTTTATATAAATTTGTTATTGATCGTCAATTTCGTTCTCACATCAATAATCATACAATAATTGCAATGATTATTGTTTCATTCGTAGATACAACAACAGAATTATCAATAACACTTCAATATCTTCGTGTGGATTATGTTCAACCAAACAAAAAGAATTTTTGTGTATTTTGGATTTGGTATGTTTTTGCTCTTCAAATAGTCAACATATCTTTGATGACATGGGCTTTAATCGAATGACATATATTAATCTTTCATTCACGTTGGATTCAAATAAAAAAAGGAAAAATCATATGGCATTATATTCCATTGATTTTTTTGTGTAACATATTTTCCAATATTTTATTTTGCATGTGTTGTTTTATATCCATGTGAAAACTTTTTTGAATATTCACTGTTTCTTTGTGGTCTTATTTGTTATAATAATGTTACTTGGCTAACAACTTTTGATTGGGTA